TGCGGAGAAGATCCCCGAGCTCCTCTGGCCCCCCTGACTACTATCCTATGCTCCTTATCCACATGGGCACAAATGACACTGCTCAGTGCAATCCCAGCCAGGTCATGCAGCGCTACAGGGATTTGGGCGCAGGTAGTGTTTTCCTTAACCCTCCCAGTTTCAGGCTGTGGGCTGAGGAGGGAGAGGAGGATCGAGGTAGCGAACCAAAGACTGCAACACTGGTGTCATCAGGAAGGCTTTGGCTTCCACAACCACAGCCTGCTCTTTGGCGAGAGGGGCAGCGAGCTGCTGGGAAGGGACAGCCTCCACCTCTCTCCATTGGGGAGGAGGCTCTTTTTAGCCAGACTGGCTGGTCTGCTCCACCAAGCCTTAAACTGGGGATGAGGGGGCTACCACCACTGCTGGCCCACTGAGCAACCCTTGCAAAGCCAGCAGGCCAAGGCACTTAAGGGAACCCACTCCTGCCCCAGCCCTGGAATGATCTGTAAGCAAGACAAGGGCCCCCGAATGGACACTTGCGTGCCTGTACACAAGTGCCAGGAGCTTGGGGAATAAAACAGGAGAAGCTTGGCCTCTTGCTTAACACAAATAATTACCATGTCATAGGGATAATGGAGACCTGGTGGGACTCCACCCATGACTGGACCACAGGTATAAACGGCTCTACCCTGTACAGGAGAGATTGAATGGACAAAAAGGGGCGGAGGTGTAGCTCTGTCAAGGAAAGCTATGCGTCCCTGCAAGCCAACACTGGCGCCCAGGGTGGACGACTGGAGACCCGCTGGGTTAAAATCCATGGGGATTTTAAAATCGGCATAAGGGACACAATGGCGGGAGTCTATTACAGACCTCCTACCCAGGATCAAGGAGCTTGACCAGAAGTTCGCCAGGGAACTGGCTGAGGCCGCACACTCCTGGTGCATGACCGTCATGGGAGACTTCAACTACCCTGACATTTCGTGGGAAAAGCACTCGGACAAATCCAAGGGATCGCAAAGCTCTCTTTCATGCATGGATGAGCTCTGATGCAAGAAGTCTAAGAGGCAACGAGAGGTAAAAGCGGTGCTTTGCCAGGTTCTGGTAATGGGGGACGACCTAAATCAGTGACCTAACGATCGAAGGGAAGCTGGGTGACAGTGACCATAAGCTGATCACCTTCACCATCCTTCGTAAAGCTAGCAAGTCAATCAGCAATACATAAGTCCTTGACTTCAGGAAAGCCGACTTTGACAAGCTCAGGAGGCTCGTCAGTGAGGCCCTAAAGGACCACAACCCAAAGGGGAGGGGAGTTCAGGACGAGTGGTTGCTCCTCAAGGAAGCAATCCTGGATGCACAAGCAAAGTCTATTCCATCTTGGAGGAAAGGCAGCAAAAGGGCACAGCAGCCCCCTTGTCTCTCCAGGGAACTAGCGGACCTCCTGTGTCTAAAAAGAAAGACTTACAGAAGGACTGGATCCACCTCCAAGGAAGAATACTCTGCACAGGTCCAGACCTGCAGGGAGCGAACCCGGAAACCCTAGGCTGCGATGGAACTCCAACTAGCTACAAGTATCAAGGACAATAAAAAGTCCTTTTTTAGATGCGTGGGGAGCCGGAGGAAGAGCAAGGGCAACATTGGACCTCTGCTAAACCAATCGGGACAACTGACAACCAATGCCCAGGAAAAAGCCAACTTGCTAAATGGGTACTTTGCAGCGGTTTTTCACCAGTCCCAAGGGACACCCCTGCCCATTACAGGATGGGAAGGCCTGGATGAGCGAGATTCCTTACCCTCCATCAATGCTGACCTCATGAAGGAACACCTTGAGAGGCTGGACACCAAGTCAGCCAGCCCTGACAATTTACACCCTAGGGTACTCAAGGAGCTGGCTAGCATCATAGCTCAGCCCCTGGCACAGATCTTCGAGAACTCCTGGTGCTCTGGTGAAGTGCCCGAAGACTGGAAGGCGGCCAATGTGGTGCCTATCTTCAAGAAGGGAGGAAAGTGGATCTGGCAAACTACAGGCCCATCAGTCTGACCTCTATCCTGGGGAAGGTCTTCGATTAATCTTTTTTAAGAGGCCATTCTTAACAGACTGGCTGATGGCAACATCCTGAGGGATAGCCAGCATGTGTTTGTTGTGGATAGGTCTTGCTTGACCAATCTTATTTCCTTTTATGACCAGGTGACTGATCACCTGGACAAGGGAAAAGAGATTGATGTCATATCTTGACTTTAAAAAAAGCCTTTGATGTGGTATCCCATGATCATCTCTTACCAAAACTGGTCAACTGCAGCCTCAGCCTCACCACAATCCACTGGCTGGGGAATTGGCTGTGTGGTCAGACCCAGAGGGTGGTAATTGATGGAAGTCAATTGTTGTGGTGTGCTGTGACTAATGAGGTCCCTCAAGGCTCTGTCCTTGGGCCTATATTATTCAATCTTCATTAATGATGTGGACATTGGTGTCAGAAGCAGAGTGGCCAAGTTCAGACTATACCAAAAACTCGGGGGTAAAAAAAAAAAAAAAAGTGTCCACACCCGAGGACAGAAGGGTGACCCAGGCCGACTGTGACAGGCTCAGGAAATGGGCGGACGAGAACCTGATAGTGTTTAACAGTGAAAAATGCAAGATTCCCCACCTTGAGAAGAAAAACCTGCAGCATGCTTATAGGCTTAGCAGTGCTATGCTGGCTAGCACTACGGACAAAAGGGACTATATTGACCACAAGATGAACATGAGCCTTCAATGTGATGCTGTAGCTAGTAGAAGCAAGCAAAATGCTGGCCTGCATCCACAGATGCTTCTCAAGCAAGTCCCAGGAAGTCATCCTCCTGCTGTACTCAGCCTTGGTGAGGCCGCAGCTGGAGTACTACATCCAGTTTTGGGCTCCACAATTCAAAAAGGATGTGAAGAAGCTTGAGAGCGCGCAAAGGAGCCACGCCTATGATCAGAGGTCAGAGAAACAGACCTTACAATGAGAAGCTGAGAGCCATGTGACTCTTCAGCCTGGAAAAAGTGCAGGCTCAGGGGTGATCTGGTGGCCACTGTCCCAGGGACGTGAGAACGGGCAAGTGGGAAACCGCGCTTGCAGAGAAACCCGGGACGAGCAAAAAAACCCCAAAACAAACAAAACTAAACCAAAAGCTTACCTCTTACAGGACACTGGAGGAATGAGGTAGCATGCCAAAGAGACGCCCGTGTGGTTAATCAGCCGCACCCATCTACAGCTGGGGCCAGGTAATGTCAGGAAGAGACGCTGCCCAGCGAAGATGAAACCAAGCCCCGAGAGTGCAGGAACAGGAACTCCAGGAGCACGAGAAGCTGTGGGGGATCATGGTCACGGAGGCATCCAGCACTGGCAAGGAGCTGAAGAGCCGGTGCGGAGGCAAGCGACTGCAGCAACAGGGGCTGCAGGAATTCCCCATGCTGGGTGCAGCCA